TGCCACAGAACCAGGAGAAGATGTTACACCAAGATCAGATGAATTTTTATATTTGTTTTTGTTTTGTTCACTTTTTAGTTGTTCCATCTTCTTTGAAACATCTGTTGCAATACCATGCTCAAGTATCTGCCTGGTTTGTTCACACTCTGTACACAAATGAAATTTATTCATGAGAATTAGGTAATTAAAATTAAACCATATTATGAAAATAAATCAATTATTCAAGCAGTGGATTTTTAAATTAAATTATACTTAAGTTTATAAATAATTAACCTTACCGTCCACATCCTTCTGCTCCTCCCATTTGCTGTAATCTCCATCAGTTTGAAAGACAATTGTTGTAACAATACCATCGGTTGACGGCTCATCCTTATCAAATCTATTATTGAAATTTGCATTGTCATAATAAATATAAAGATAATTGAGTCAATTACAGGATCTATAATTGAATACAGGAAAGTTAATATTTACTTTTTAATATCGGGGAATATTTTTTCTCATTCGAACTTACTTTAAAGTTATTAAAAATTAATTGCAAATTCACAAGTGCAGAATATAGATATGGAATAAAGGTTTAATTTAATTATAGCTCATAACAGGCAATGCGTCGTTCGTAGACATACACTTATGATGTCATCATCGGTATCAGGCATATATATTTATACAGTAGGGCCTAAGACATGTCACACATCAGCTGTCATATAGAAATTGAAACATAGTACAGAGAACAGTACTACCAAGAACCTGGATAAGAGGGTACAGTACTACTAATTGGTATACGGACTATCTGTGTGCAAATCTTCAAGTGAGAAATGATGTTTGCCCTGGCAAAATATTTCGAAACGATCAGCATAAAAATTGGTAATGTGCTCAAAAACAAATTTAGGATTAAAAAAAAATATATGCGGAACTCTCATTTATAAAGATAACCATAGTCAATCGGTGGGAAAAATAATGTTTGACCATCAGGCTGGCTGTAAAATTTAAAGGCGTTGTAAAAATAGCAGGACGTACTGGAGGGCATTTATGTGATGGATTGATGATTTTGCCCAGTATTCCACTATGAGCATTGTATTGACGAATTAAAATAACAGCAACCAATAATAATAAAATTATAATCAAAAACTCAAAAACAATCTTTTGTGGGAAGACTAGACACTTTGAAATTTTATGTCTTTTAAACAATTAAGTGACTACAGTGTTTTAGTATTATAGGCCTATTTAATATTTATCGATTACGTTATTCCTCCCACGCAAGCTTAAAATTAATTATTAATAATCGTCATCCTTAACTTTTAACATTCGAACATTTAAAATCTAAAACTGACTCTTTGAAATTTTCAATTCTAACTAGATTTGTGAATTTGTGGAATAACATCCATCCGGATATTCGAAATTATTTCATTATATCTAATAATTTTGTTTTGTTTTAATGTACCCTAGGTTAAAAAAATATTAAAATGATTTTTAAACGTTTGATATTGATTTATTATTATTATTATTATTAATAATAATAATAATAATTATTATTATTATTATAATAAATAATAAATAATAAATAATAATAATAATAATAATAATAATAATAATAATAATTATTATTATTATTATTATTCTATTAACACGTGTTTTGTTTAAATGTAGCCTAAGTTAAAAAAATATTTAAATGATTTTTAAACGTTTGATATTGATTTATTATTATTATTATTATTATTATTAATAATCATAATAAAAATAATAATAATAATTATTATTATTATTATCATTACAATTTGTTTTATGTTCCAAAAATCCGGCCCGAAATCGCCAAACGGTGAGAAATCGCTGAAAATCAGCCCTTTTTGAGTAGTTTTTTAACGTATCTTCGTTAATATTAGACCGATTTTTTTGGCTGTTTTTGAAACTTGTTCCTTATTTATTCAGCTATAATGTCATGTTATTTTTAATTTTAAAATCAATGAGGTGTCGTCGGAATCTTTTTTTTAAGCCAAGTCTGTTGGCGATCGCCCAGTGTATTAACTCCTATCTGTTTACACAATTTTGCGATCATGTTTACAAAAATCACTCTAACTTCTGAACCAGTGGGCCGATTTTAACGGCTGTTTCAGTATGTAAAAATAGACTAATCAAGCTGTCTGTTAAGCTAAAAATCAATTTGATTGGATGAGAGGTCTCGTCGAAACGCCTATTTCTTTAGAGACATTGACTCGATCTGACACACATCGACTAATGGTAAAGGATAGGCGGCAGTTCTCGCCGATAGGCGGCTCGTGCTTGTGTAAAGATCACAGAAAAACAGCGATTTCTCAGCTAATACTTGCATAAAGTTTACCATTTTTGTATCAAAAGTAAGAGAAATCTTTGCTGATTTGTAATATGTAAACATAGTTAGAATTAAGCGTTTGGTGTTTTTGTTACGAGCAGTTTAAAAACGTTCAGTTATTTTTCGAAACCTGCAGCGTGATTTAGCCGGTTCGATGGACTCGACCATTATACATGTAGGCAAAGGCGGCCTAGGCTTGCTAAATTCTAACTTACACATCTAGATGTGAATAAGAGACAGTTTATATACAGTGTTCTTATTGATTATACAGTACCATAAACTATATATATATCAGATATAGTGACTGACCAAAATGAATTTAAGACATTATAAAATGTTACAATATTATTTCATTTATTATTTGTGATTAGGTGCCCAACATTCCCCTCTAAGTAAAGTGGTACGGTCCAACGCGGTTGCGTGAGCTACACTGTATTATTTTATTCCTTTTTTTTCTGGGAGCAGCACGTCAACTCAAAGATGAAATGACAGTGTTTCCGCTTTTGCTGGTCCCTTTTTGTTATTTGGCTTGCCAGAATGAACAATATAAAAATAGGCCCTAATTAAATAAAACAATACAGTAATAACAACGACTTATAATTGTTAACAGTCATAAGTCCT